GGATCAGCAAAAGAAGAACGCATAAAAAGACCTGCTATTTCTTCTGTCAAAAATGGATTTCAAAAGTTAGATGATTATCTGGTTCAGCCTAGAGAGAATTATTCCGTAATCTGGCCACGAACCTTTTCTTCCGAGGAGCCAGTAAAAGAATCCCAACCTATCGACGATGAAAATGCTTTGAGTAGAGGAGCCAATCTAGTTATTGCAAAATATGGGTGGCTCCAGATTGGAAAAATCGAGAAAGGATTCATCAACTTTCAAGCACAATCCATTAAAGAATGCCCTATATGTGACGTTAAACATGAAAAAAACCAACTCTATGGATTTATTCGAAAAAATGGACATTTCATACTCAAGTGCTATCGGCAAAAACAATACAAACCAGATCACAAGGGCCTTAGCTTCGATAAGGTATCAGACAAAGTAGAATCGAAAGTGAAGCCTAAGTGGGGATTAATTGAAAGATTACCTAAGGCTCTATCAACTCCACATCCATTTCCCGAATTACCTGGAGAAAGTATTAATGTGAAAGAGATGGAGGATGCCCTAGATGTTTTTCCAGACTTTCTAAGTGAAGAACCTAGTACGACTCTCATTCGCTCTACTGTGGGTACTGGAAAAACAAAAACATTAAGAAAAATTTTGGCATCTTTAGCTCAAGGTGGCGCTAATTTACCTTGTACTATCTGGGTTTCATATCGCAAAACCCTTAGTAATGAATATGAAGCCAAACTTAAAGAATTGGAAAAATTCGATTTCAAAGTAGGGCAGTATCAAAATATTGTGGCCGACCTAAAGATTCGTGAGTGGGATCTAATTATTGTACAAGTTGAAAGTATTCTTCGTCTTGATTTTCAAGGGGGTCGTTCCTGTATAGCAATTTTAGATGAAGCGAACGCCACTATGCGTCAAATGGCTAGTGGAGTTCATGCTCGAGAATCTTTCAATGCTATGCGCGATTTGTTAAATGTAGCTACCCATGTTGTTGCTATGGACGCTTTTGCAAACGATTCGACTTTAGCTTTCTTAAAATCCTATCGAGGTGAGAATATCCGAATTATTGATAACAAATATCAACCACGTAAAGGGGAGATTGTTAAATTTCTTTACGATCCAGATAAAGGTTCAGAAGCTATACGTAGAGGTCTTAGGATGCTCCAAGAAGGTAAGCACGTTGCATTTGTTATGACATCCTGTAAAAAAGCTCGCGCCTTAGCTAATCAAGCATCTAAGTTGCAAAAACCTGATGGTTCATTCATTTTATCACGAGTTTATTTTGGCCAAATGGATGGAAAACAACGCCAAAATGATTTTGCTAATATTGATGCTACCTGGAGTGGTCTTGACTGTGTAATTTATACAAGCACTGTGGAAGCTGGCATCTCCTTTGAAATATCTGGTTATTTTGACGCAGTTATAGGAATTACTAATATTGCCACTCCAGTCCATGTCGAAGCGTTTGCTCAGATGTTATTCAGAATCCGCGACTGCCCATTACGTATAGTTTCACTTTATCATAGCAAAAAATTTGACATTTTCAAAGAGCCATGCCGGGAACTCATTCGGGCTGAACTTTCAGCATTAAGACCTGGAGACTTGCCAACAATAATAAAAGGCCAGCGTGCATGGGATAAAATTGCTGATTGTTATGCGCTTAATTTATCTCCAGCAGTGGAAACCTATATCGAAGTTGAATATCAGAGACGCTTATCAGCTAAATACTTTCCTGAAATTCTTTGCAGTCTCATTGCTAGTACTGGAGTAACTCTTGAATTAATTTCAGTGGAAGATACTGAAAAAGTTAACAGGAATAAAATTTCTTATACTATTAAGGAGATTGAGAAAGCGATTAAAGTCTCTGATATAGAATCAATAGCCAACGCTCCGGATATTAGTCCCAATGAAGCTGAGATTCTTAAGCAAAATCCTGTACGCTCTTTTGCTGATAACATGACTCTACAACGTCATTATTTGTGGAAAATATATGCCTCAGGTGATATCGGAGGT